AACCCTGTTGATTCTATGATTCTGTGTAATGCACAGTGTTTCAATACTTATTGCCCCACTTCAAACACAGCTGTTGTTAACTGTTAACTCCCAAAAAGACTGAACTGCAAGACTTGATTGAACCACCAAGTCTTCCATGAGATCATGTCAGTACATAGCAAGAACTCCTCCTGTATCTGGGCTACCTTTGCCATGGTTCTAGCAGATTCAATTTTGACATCTTCAGTGTTTTATCTCATCTCTATTTTGCAGATTAAGAATGAAGTAAAAGTGAAAGAAGCTGCCAAGGAGGGTTGTCAAATGCAGAGGGTAGTGTAGTGACAGGGGATGAGGAAAACGCAGAGGTAGTCAATGCCTTCTGTGCCTCTGTCTTTAACAAACCCATTGCAGCTAACTTGGCAAAAATGTGTCCCACAGGTGCTTAACAACCATGTTAGACTCTCCTCCCTGCCACTGAGTGCTCTACAATGCATCCTGAAGACTCATCCTTGTGAAAAATCAAGAACCCATAATTAATTTAGCCTGTTCAAATATTCTGTTGATTAAATAAAAGAAAAAAGTAAATAAAAACCCTCAAAATCACATTTGTTCAAAAAAAAAGAAGGAAAAAAAGTATCAGTTTAAAGGTTACTACAATTCCTGTGAAGTGTAGGTGTGATATCAGAGAAATAATGCAAGTTTGATACTTGCAGCAGAGTTGCGTGCCCAAACCAAGCCAGACATAATCCCCTGCTCTTTCCTCTGAGCTGACCTGGGGTAAATTAAACTCTTTCTATTGACAAAGCCAAACATTGGAGATGTATTTACCTTTGTCATGGCCCAGGTAAGATATCAGGTATTAAAAAAGGACAAACAAACCACCCTGAATTTCAAGTCACTAGTCAAAATGGACTTAGTTTATGCAACTATAGTAACAGTCACATGACTCATCAAACTTACACTCAATAGATAGAACAATATTGACTAATTATCAGTAGATCAGACCCACACACAGAACTGACCTGCTGGGATGACACCTGTAGTTGTCTCGTGAGGTCATCTATCTGACGTTCGAGGCTGTTTGCCCTGCCTCTTTCAGAATCCAGCTGTTCTCCTTGCTTATCATATTCCATCAGAAGATTCTGAACACATACAAACACAAACCCATCATTTTTACAACATATATTGCATGATCACATTCCATACCTCGGCAGCCTACGTATCTTCCTAACATTTCAGTGTATGAGCTGTGCTACTGCAACAACAGAAATATCAGAATGGAATTAAAATTTTATTATTACACTACAGGCTCTGGGAGAACCCTTTTCAGTTCATGAAACTCTAGGATAATTCAGGCTGGAATAGAGCTAAGCAGGGCTACATTTAACCTTCTGCTTCAGCAGTGAGATCAGACAAGGTTGCTCAGAGCTTTGGCCCATCAGTCTTTCCAAGGATCTGCCTCCATGGATGGAGAAGGCACTACTCCTCTGGGCAACTTGTTCCAAAGCTTAACCATCCTCATAGGGTAAAATGTTTATCCATGTATCCAGTTGGAATCTCTCATTCAATTTAGGATTACTGTCTTATCTTGCACCACCATTAACAACCTGACTCTCTTTCCTTGATAATGCCTTTGTAGGTACTGGAAGGCTCCAATTAGGTTCCTTTGAAGTCTTCTCCAGGCTGAGCAACTTTTCATCACTTTTCCAGTCTCTTGACCATCCTGGTCACTCTCCACTGAAATCACTTCAGGTTATCAATGTCTTTCTAGTATTTGGGAGGAGAAAGAAGGACAAGACTGGCTGCAATACTCTCAATGATTTAGTTTGGAGAAGACCTTTAAGATTATTGAGTCCAACTACAAACCCAGCAGTGCCAAGTGCTCCACTAACCTCTGTCCCTAAGTGCCACATTTACACATACTGTAGAATCACAGAATCATCAAGGTTGGAGGAGACCTCTAAAATCATCCAGTCCAACCATTAACCTGTCACTGCTGA